CGCCAACAAAATGAATGGCTGAACTGGAGTTGCAAAGAGATCATCCACCCCTAGGGGACTGATGGAAAGGAGCAGAGCCCCCTGGTCTGGTCAGTAGGTAAGTCTGCCCGCGTCAAGCTGCCCCTGTTGAGAAGGGGCTACAATATCAGGGTTCCAGTTCAAACCTAGGGAGAAGCATCGTGTCTGTAGGCTCAGTAAATGGGATCCGGGGGCTGCTGGGGGCTGCTGTGATTAGGAGCATTAGTGGAATGGCCAAATCAGAGCTGTGACCCATCTAGCGCACTCTTTATTATATATTATAAATGGAGATATCCATCTCCTAGAGCTGGAAGGGACCTTGAAAGGTCATCGGATCCAGCCCCCTGCCTTCACTAGGACCAAGTACAGATTTTGCCCCAGATCCCTAAATGGCCCCCTCAAGGATTGAACTCTCAACCCTGGGTTTAGCAGGCCAATGCTCAAACCACTGAACTATCCCTGCCCCCCATATAATTAATGGAGATATCCCTCTTCTGTCTAGCAGGGGCCAGTGGTGGATACTACAGAGGAAGGTGGAAGACTCCCTTAATGGATGGTTGTGGAATATGCTGCCCATGAGTTTCTTCCTAGCCCTCAGTTAGTGGCTGCTTTATACCTTGCAGCAGGAGAGCTGATGTCCCTAACTTTTGAACTCCTATCTAACGTAACTATGGATGTTCTCATTACCTATAGAAATGTCAACTCCTCCTCGGAATCCTTGGCCTTGTCAGTCCTCAAACTGGCCTGTGGAACTCACTGCCACAAATTATGCATTTGTATAAAAAAAATCTTACTTTTGAGTCTTAAGCTTGTGACCTTTCATTTTCACTAAATGTCCCCAGGCTCTTGTATTGTGAGAGGTCCTAATGTATTTTTGGTGTACCTGTCGCATCTCTCTAAATTAAATAGGTCCTGTTCTTCTCAATCCCACTTCGTATAGAAGCCTCTTCTGACCACACATCGTTTCTGGACCTCTCACTTTTTCTATCTCATTGTTGACGGAGGGAACAGAATGGAACTCAGCGTTTCAGATGAGGGTCTCCAATTAATGTATATAACTGTCACAACAGTAGGACAATGGAACAGACAGCCTAGGGAAGTCATGGAAGCTCCTTCACTGGAGGTTTTCAAAAGGAGGCTGGACAGCCATCTGTCTTGGATGGTTTAGACACAACAAATCCTGTGTGTTGGCAGGGGGTTAGACTAGCTTCCCAGATTACTGTCCCCCTTTCAGGAGTCTGATTTGTCTTGCGTGCCCCCAAGTTTCACCCCACTTAAAAACGACTTGCTTTCAAAATCAGACACAAAAATACAGAAGTGTCACAGCCACACTATTACTGAAGCATTGCTGACTTCTCATTTTTACCATATAATTATAAAATAAATCCATTGGAATATAAATATTGTACTTTCATTTCAGTGTATATAGAGCAATATAAACAAGTCACTGTATGAAATTTTAGTTTGTACTGATCTCGCTAGTGCTTTTTATGTAGACTGTTGTAAAACTAGGCAAATCTCTAGATGAGTTGATGTATCCCCTGGAAGACCTCTGCAAGGGTAAATGTACCCTTGGTTGAGAACCACTGGACTAGATGACCCTCGCGGTCCCTTCTAATCCTGTGGTTCTATGGTTCTGTGATGGTGTAATATTCTCACTAATGTTTATCCCATTGCTTATGCATCCTAACATCTGGTTTGCACTTAACCTCTGCTCAGGGCCCAGCAGTAGGCATTCATTGGGCTCTTCATGGTGATGCCCTACATCTCGCTGTGTGGCTTAGAACCTACCAATGTTTCTGAGTTAAAATCCTTCCAATAGACGTTTCCTTGTACAGTAACTCCTCACTTAATGTTGTAGTTATGTTCCTGAAAAATGCAATTTTAAGTGAAACAATGTTAAACGAATCCAATTGTCCCATAAGACTTAATGTAAATGTGTGGGGGGGGAAGGTTCCAAGGACATTTTTTTGGGGCAGACAAAAGGCATT